CTTCTCTGCTGTGGCCAGGGCTGGGAGTGAGGGGCGAGGGCCTGGAGAAGAGCACAGTGAGATGAGCAGAGGGAGAGCTGGAGCCGGGCTGAGCACGGGCCGCTTGGCACTGTGGGGCTGTGGGAGCTGCGTCCCTCCTGCCACCCACGGGCCCCAGCCAGCGCGGGCTCCTGTCCTGTGGGACGTAGGGCCCAGGCTGCACGTGTCCCCTGGGCTGTGGGACCATCTCCCTGTCCCTGACAAAGCCCCTGCTGCTGGGAGCCTTCCTTCCCTCAGCTGCTTCCTGAGCCAGGTCTCCCACCACCACTGTACGACCTTTCGGTTGTGTCTACCCCCAGCCTTCCACACGAGCTCGCTTTTCTTTTCCCAGTGCCCTGTCTCCACTTCCCTCCTCCCCTGGGGCGGAGAGGAGATGCCCTGAGCGGGTGAATCCATACCCAGGGGCTCCTTCCCTCTTCCATCCTCTGCAGCAGGAGCGCAGCAGTGGCACCATGGGTCAGCACTGCCCGTACGGCTCCGTGCTGCCCCGCTGCCCCTGCGCAGGGTTCCTGCCCTCGCCCGAGGCTCCAGCTCTGGGAAGCAGCAGCAGTTCAGCCGCCCAAGTTACCCGTTGGCCGGTTCCCATTCACGTCCCATTGCCAGGAGCCCGTCCTGAGCATCGGTGGAGCGCGCTGGGCAAAATCCTCCTGAAATCCAGGCGTTGCTTACAGCCAAGACACGGGATACGTGTGCTTGTGCGCGTGGATCCCCAGGTGCCCAAACCAACCTGCCTCTCCCCAAGGGCTGGGAGGGAACATGGGCCACAGCGGAGGTCTCTGGGCCAGGGGACGGAAAGGGAATCGTCTGCACAGACGTCGCGTTGTTATTTCTGCTCCAACAACCACTCCTGGCTGTACAGACGGTGTGAGCACCAAAGGAAAACGCAGACAGCGAGCGCGGCGGGCGAGCTGCTCCCCCTGGATTGCATAGATCGGGGTGGGATGTCACTCCAGCGTAAGGTCCATTTTTGGGTTGCAACTTTCCTGCATATTTGTATTTACAGCAGCGCGCTGGGAACCCGGGGCGCCGTGGTTAGAGTTTTCAGACCAGGTCATGGCTGGGCTTTCTGAGCACAGTGAAAAGCAGAGCTACAGCTTCGGGGTCCCATCGGAGCCTGGATTTCTGCAGGTTCTGATGAGAGTGTCACAGGGAGAGCGCTGGGCGCAGCTGTGGGTGCCGCCTGCTCCTTCGTACCTGATTGTCCGGGCTGCTGGGGACACCTTTGTTTTCGGGAGTCATCGGTAACTCCCTGGAAGCTCCTAACAAGGACGAGGTTGGATGGCCAGGCACGGCAGCTGCCTTTCACTGGAGAACCAAAAGTGCTTTGGGGACATTCATGCAGCCTCACAGCATCTCCCGGGAGGTAGGGGCAGGGCTGTCCCCCGCGGGTGGGACAGAGGCAAACAGCTGGCACTGAGCTCAGGGTCACCTCCTCAGAGAGCCCGGCTGTCCCCTCCTGGAGCAGAGCCCGTCGTGTGCTTCTCGG